GCCTGCATTTCGCGCACTCGACACGCACGATCTCCGCAGAGGGTTGCACTTTCGGTTGACGCTGTTCGTCCCGCCCTCCGCCTTTAAGAGAGAATTTATAAAGTGGGGAAATGTTTTTTCATTAGGACATCTCCCGTGCTAGTTTTCCATACTCACACTTGCCTACTCATTGCATGCTTGCATGCTCATTGCATGCTTGCGTGCCCACTTGCATACTCACACTTGCATACTCACACTGCGTGCTTGCCGAGTGTCAGTGTGTATGTGTGTAAGTGTCAGTGTCGAAGTGTCAGTGTATGTAGTGCGAATGTGGTGGAAGTGTCAGTGTGCAAGTGTAAGTGTCGAAGTGTCAGTGTTCAAGGGATTTTCCGGAAGAACCCTTCGCAATGCTTTCGGGAATAGAAATAAGACAGTCATAAAAGGTTGCATGAAAGTTTTGTATTTTTGGGCAAAGGTTCAAGGTATTAAACAAATATAGAACTTCTCCAAAAAAACTCAAATGATAAATTAAGAAACATATAGTGCAAAAGTAACCCACTGATTGCACTGGAAAGTACAAAAGCCAGTCCACTGATTGAATTGGAAAGTGCAAAAGTAAGTAAGCCCACATGAAGCAACACAATATGCAAAAGTGTAAGCCCAATCATTTCGAATGGAAAAGTAAAGCAGCCAGCAAATGCAGCAACGCTTGTTTATATCCTCAGGCTTCTTCAGGGTGGAACAGTGTCATTCCATCGACCCATCCAGGTCAGCAGCTGCATCCAAATCACCAGTGAAGCTCCACCAATCTGCTGGCCTTGGAACCAACCAAGTTACAACCACAAAGCTGCAAAAGTAAGAAAGCGAAACCTACTCTCTGGGCTAGTAACGAAGCAATTGTGTGTCCATATTTTACCTAACCTGGCAGTCTGGGAAAGGTGCCAGAGAGCTAACGTGGCAGTCAGTATTCATCAAAAACTTTAAATAAGATTTGGGTAGGCGAAAACCAATTGCCACGAGTTGGATCAATCCATTCTTGGAGACCAAATTGCTCAAATTCAGCAATTGCCCCGTTAGACTCGAATCTAGTGGAAAGACACCTAACACAGCAACTGAAATGTGTGTCTGTGTTCACTGCTCTCTTTTCGGACCTTTTTTCTTTACCAAACGGTCATGCAAGTTTGTTCGTTCAGAACTCGCACTTGTCAAGCTCTGACTGCAAGTTGGTCACGTGATCAAAGCCATCACCCGTTTCTTTGAAATATTACTGCCGCAAAAAGAGTATACATATGAGGATGGCTTTCCGTTCTGAACGCAAGGCTCCAAAAGTTGGTGCTCTCCCTTTCTGACCTTTGTATTGTCCGTGCCATTGCTTGGACTTGCGGTGAAAGTACAATCCAACATTACCGGTGTCACCACTGACCAAATCCTTTTCATCTAGAACATCATCCACACCTTCTTGGCTCTCAACCTCCTCATCACTCAGGAGAGCATCAGGCATCTTTTCCAGGTCGCCTTGCACATGGAAACCATCACCTTCCGGGCAGATTGTCAGCAGCACACAGGAAGAGTAAAGACCAGTCTAGGGGCTCTAAGCAACTAACCTGGCAAACCCTTTACAGGCCCTTTAATGCACGCGCTGCTGTTGCCATCTGGCCTTCCACATCAACTTGGCCGTGAAGCCCCAACTCGTCCTCCATTTGTGTGGCTGATGACACGGAAGACTCCTCCTCAGAGCCTTCCTCCTCTGGCCCACTGGGCAAATCTTCTGCCTCACTCTCTTCTAGCACGTGTGCAAAACCATCAACCAGCTCTCCAACTTCGGCATTGGCTTCCCTGGACACCATGTCCCAGCAGCGCACTTCCTGAAGAAAGTGTTTGGTGAAAGTCGAAGGGCCAGCTTCACTAGAGGCATTGTGGCATCATAATGCATTGTCATGATGCAAGGCTGAGATTTGCTCTTGGCGTTGACAGAGGGGCACCCATCAGCACTCCATACTATGTGTTTCTTGATCCAATCCTCGGTGGCCATTTGCCCTGTCCGCTTGTTGAGTGGGATTGATTTGTTGATGTTCAGAAGCTTCTTGAGATCCTCTTCAGCTTGCAGGGTTTTTGCATTCGTGGTGCCCGCAGCCTGCAGTTCCTCGATCCGTTTGCGAGCCATGTCCACAGCATGCTGATGCTGAACCAAAGTCCTGACAAAGGCGCTGGCTATTTCATAAGTCAGCGGATGCCATTCTTCTTTCTCCTGACAAGGTCAGTTTCCCGACTCATGGCCTCACCCTGCTAACCTAGCAACTCCAAGTGAACCTTTGGCTCACCCAATTCTTACTGTCCTGTGAAAACTGCCCCGCTAACATAGCAGTTCATGTCATCTATCTATGCTGCATACAACCCACAACATATCTCGCCTTGATTTGCCATTCATAGACCATGCAGCGCTGTGGCGATCCATTCGCACCATGGTAAGGCTCAAGCAAATTCTTGGCAGCGGAAAAGTCAAGTTCTGCTCCACCAAACTGGTCGAAATGAGAACTGCCGAAGTAGCCACAGCACATCCAAGCTGCTTTGAACACACTTGAAGGCAAAGCCTCCCATGCATTGCGGGTAAGATCCACCACCTCTTTGAAGCTCCTCACCGATGCTTTGACTTGCCCGGATCCTCGAATCTCCAATTTATCATAGCCTGTGCTGATGGTGGAAATCTTGAAAGGAACCTGACTTGCTCATACCGATACCAATTTCAGTGATTCTGAAGTAGCATTACCTGTACCCACTAACCTGGCATTCGCTATCCCCACTGTCAAGATGCTGGGTCTTGATCGTAGATCGCTGACCATTCCACAAGCACTCAGATCTTGCTCTCGGATCTTGGCTCGAAATACCCTTGGCTGCCACAGACTTGGCTTACCAAGCATTGGCACGACGCAAAAGTTTCCTCTGAGCATCTTTCTGCCAAGGTCAAGCAAAGCAAACACTTGAAGCAAACAGACAGAGTGCATGTGAAGCATGGTCGAATAAGGCCGAGAAGCCCATGCATGGAATCAACCAGTTGACCATGAGATGACCAGCCAGCTGCAAATCTAATCGGGTCAACTATTCGGTGCATCTTGTAAAAGGTCTC